TACGAAAGGATAGTATTATGAAGAGAACTTTTATATTATTACCTATACATAGGATGAGAAGTATCAGAGGTAGATAAAATATGAAGTTGATAAAAAAAGGATCATGGTTACTTAATACTACAAAGATTGAGTTTAATAGTATTTCATAGATTCACAAGAATTAGTAATTTGTTTATATCGAGGTGAAGTAAAACAAACAATGGTAACATAAGGAAGAAAACTAAGGAAGAATAATTTATATTGATTTATATTAAGTAATTATATACATTAAGAATGCCTTGGATATAAGAGTTCAGATATCCAAGAGGAATTGAATGGAAAGAGTATAGTACACAATTATATTTGACCTAAGTCTATAAAGGTATGGACTAGGGAGAATAGGTTTCTGGATATGATGGTATCCAGTGAATAAGTTGTTAAGTTGTTTTAAGATTTCCCTGAGTTTGTTAGACACAGACTAGGAATAAGAGTTTCTGGGCAGTATGACCCCAAGTTTTGTTTATTTTCTTTTAGTCAGTTGAAGTGTACTAAGGAATATGGATTGGTCAGAACATTAGGACAATCCTGCTTTTAAGGTGTATTACATTAATAAGTGATCACAATGCTAATGAAGAGAGTGATGCTAATGAATTTAAATGATTCTTTCCAAGTTCTTTTAAAGTAAACCATGTTTCTGTTGAATGAAATGTTTGTTACTACAAGGTGGAATTTTAGTCAAAATTATAATTATGTGAACAAAAACAAATCTATGATAGAAAGATTTCTGGGTGGAGAATTTCTAGGACAATAAGTATTGTCAACACCATGAACATTATTTGAAGAATTATTTTAGAACTCCATGGTTGATAACACATCCTTTGAATGAGTCTTATAAGTAGTGTTGGTATATTTTAGGTAGTGAGAGCCTACTGATGCAATCATCACTAGGTGGTATTAATGGTATAGGAATGTAATTCATGAATACAAATGACCTAAAGATTTTAAGGTTGCTAGAAACCATATGATTCATGGAAATCTAATTGGACAGGATATTATAGTAATACACGTATTAGTACTTAAATAATATCAGGTATTGAGAATGAAAATACTATGCTATATGTGTCTGTAGGAGTATTATAGTGATACACAGTTATTATTATTTAGAAAGTTATCATCTTGATTTTGTTATCTACAAAGATACGACTGTACCAGAGCAGGTTGATCTTTCTGATTGCTTTATTTTTATTGGATCAACATTTGTAAATATTTTATTTTATTCATTTATTATTGTTATATATATGTACATATTATGTTCAAGTAGTTATGATGTAACATGGATATGGATATCAATACATAGCTGAAACAAAGGGAGTTTGAAGTAAAGTAAGCAGTATGAGGGATAGAAACTCGACCTTCCAAGAACTCTCATATAATAGAAAGTTGTGACTACATCTTGTTCTATGTTCAATGACTGTGATACAAGTGATGTATGAATGGACAGGTTAGTGACATTGTGTTATGGTTTTAAAACAAACCCTAAACAGAGGGAATGTAGAATATTGCATATTCTATGTTTCTATTGATTATATATATGGATGTGTGGATTGACATAAGTAACAGATGGTATCAATAAGTCACAAGGCTTTCTTTGTCCGAGAGCTCTGGAATGTGGATTCGGGGGTCTTGTCCTTATATGGCTAGAGGTAAACGCTGACGTTAGTATGAACACTTCTATATAGTAACAGAGGGACACGAGGTCTCTCTCTCTTGGCTTGGCTCTTGGCTCTGTACAACGATGTAACTCTCCCATCAGAAGTACAGCAATTACCATCTGCTGGTGAATGTCCATTATCCTGTAACATCATTTATTATGTTTTATTATGCATCCGTAACAAAGAATAAACATGAAAAAAACGTAAGTCAGATTGCGTATTACTACTTTTCAATAATATAGACATATATTATTGTGGCGAGCATTTGGCCCAAGAATATATATACAAAAGACGTATATATATCAATTAACTGAAGACAAGATGAAATTAAGAAGATTCTACATTAACACCGTTCCAAAATTACATTTTACATGAGGTTACTGGCTTGTCCGCCTCTTTGTTCCAATAAATCTTTTAGGGTAGCTCTTCTCAGGTTCTGGTATTGTAATTCCATTTAATCCTGGTTGTAGTGGTCTCTCTGGGCGCTGAGGATCATCCCGTCACTTGCCACCAGTTGTTACGGTACCTCCAGTAATAAATGTACAAACCGCCGTTTAGTGAATGCTCCCCGTTCGCAATAATGTGGCCTGGTAGCGTATGCAGTATAACCATGCGAACCGCCAGCCAGGGAACACTCCACACTCCCGAACGGTACCTGTACGGCTCCTTCCCTTCACGAGCTCCAACTACACGAACTGCCAATAGCAGCCGAACGGCAATAGTTTCCAAGCGGCAAATAATCCCAATGAGCAGTCTCTAGTCGCCGGTAATAAAATCCCCCCAATAACGAGACCAAGCTCCGCTTTGAGGGTAAAACACAAACACGGGTTTACTGTGGGCTACATGCCCGTATTTATGCAGGTCTCCCACTTGGTGGACACTCCCCTAGGGGACCAAATGGGAGACTGGAATAACAGAAGGACATGGGGACATTTCAGACATATATCCCCACAATATTCCCAGCATGCATCACAGTTTCCTCCCCTCTGCTCGGGAGATAATTGAGAAGTAATTCAATTATCTCCCAGAGCAGAGGCAAATCGCCATTTTAAATCAAAGTTACAAAACACATTAAAATACATAACTTTATAACTGCCGAACGTATTGCATTCGTATAACACATCTCCAGATAGCCTGGATCTGAGTGCATATTATTGGCGAATAGCGCTCAGATCACATACGCATAGTTCAATCGCCATGGAGTCAAAGTCTATTACAGTTCTTCGGTATGCGATTGACTCCATGGGAAGGCTATCTGGGGTAAGTCCATTCGTGCCTTTAAATCTCTCGAACGGCCGGTATTCGTATACTTTTGTCGATTGAGAAGGGGAGGTCGACGGCTTCAGCGGTGTTCGGTTGAAAAAGTGTCAGTTTTTAGTTCCATGGAATAACCGTCGAACACCGCTGGGCTTTCGCATAGTTAAAATGGCCGCCGCCTCATGGTCGACATACGAACGACAACCACCCTGTATTCGGTTTTAATTGAGAAGTGTCTGTGGTTAACCGCAACGTTCTAATTGGGATCAATAGGTTAACCAGCAGCACACTACTCTTCTGGGTGGCCGTCCGTTCGGTAGTTCCGTTCGACAAACAAATACATTCGCTTAAACAAGGCATACGAATGGGGAAATTCATACAAACGGCAAAACAGACGAACACAGCAATTCTAGTTCATACGGATGGGTCTGTCACACCGAACGTAACCCTAAAGTGAGGACCTGACCCGTGAATGATGCCGTGGGACTGTTGCCTGGCGTAACGGGTAGGTCAACTTACGGTTTGTGAGTCACTAGGACGTTATCTGCGGCGATGGAAAGAAGCAAGAAGCTGGTCGGACGAAAAAGTCTGTGGCTGGATTCCTGGACACAGCTCAGCGTAGAAGACCTCGTGAGAAAGGTATTCCAAAATGGCGACTGAATGAACCGGAAGTGCATTCAGAAGCTGACCTCGAGCGGTATGGAGTCAGGTAAGGGTTTAAGTTATATAGGTTAATGAATTAACTTAAGCCCCTCCCACAATTACAGGCCAAACTTCCTTAATACTTCCTTAATACATATTTATATATATATGTGTGTTTATAAATATATAATTTATATATTACACAAATTTTTTAATTGTTTGCCTAACAGCGCTGAAGTGCTAATTAACAGATGCAGCAAATTTTCCAAATAGCTGCAATTTTAAAGGACACTCTGCCTACCACATAACCACTTCATCTCAATGGTGGCCAGATGAAAGTGGTTACATGGTACTCTCTGCAAAGTTGTTATGGTGCTTAGCGAATTTCCCTTTAAATGATAAAGCTGTGGTCTATCATAGCAATTGGAATGTGTGTGCTGCTTTAACTGATTTTTATTACTATTAGAAACTGACTCTCTCTGTTCCAATTGGAAGAGGATACGAAAGTGATAGCGCCATATATTACACTGGGTCTTCGCATTTAATGTGCATTGCATATTGTACAGCTGCTGCTTGTTCCTCTCCCCTAACTGATGTGCAATATGTATATTGCCTACGTTTGCCAGGAATTACACTCCAGGGCAGACGCTGCTGTTTGTAGTTGCTGTCCGTAATTTTCTAACATGACAGGAGGCTTCATATTTTTTATAATCTTTCTTTACTCAATTCCAGGCCCAGACTGGCCATCGGACACACCGGTCAAATGCCCAGTGGGCTGCGATGTCCATGGGCCGAGGCTGGCAGGGGAGGTCACAGGATCTCCCCAGCTGATCCATGCAGGGCTGGCACTATGTGAGCGCCGGCCCCACTATTTTCCATGATGGTCCGGTGGGGAGATCAAAGACATGCGGCTAGGGAGGAAGAGGAGAATCCAGCGGAGCCCTATCTTGCAGCTCCGCCGGGTTCCTCTTGCGAGATCCGGAGCGTTGCCATGGCAATGACCCCGATCTCGCGATAGGAACTCTAACCTCGCAGGCTACAGTTCACTCACCACTAGTACCACCAGGGATGGTGTGAGAGCCCGGTCCCCCCCCTCCCAGGCTAAAGGTAAGAAGGGAGGGGGGTGGGAGGGATATAATGCCTGTTTTTTTTTTTTTTTTAACCCACCGCAACATATATATACACACACACACATCACCGTCACAGCATCCATCACACACACACTTTACCCTTCACATAAACACATACTGTACCCCTCACACGTACACACTACACCCTTCACACAAACCCACTGCACCCCTCACACATAAACACAGAACCCCCCCAACACACACACACACAATACTTCCAAACATATTTATATTATATTATATAAATATATATATATAGAGAGAGAGAGAGAGAGAGAGAGATAGAGATAGAGATAGAGAGAGAGAGAGAGAGAGAGAGAGATAATAGCACTCTCGGGACTTGGAATAAGTATAAAACTTAGCTTTTAATTAGCTCTAAAAATAGGTCAATTAACCTATTTTTAGAGCTAATTAAAAGCTAAGTTTTATACTTATTCCAAGTCCTGAGAGTGCTATCTGGATTGTTTCTCTGTATTTCAGCCTGACAAGCACCAGGCAAGTATATTTGGAGTTATATGGAGTGCAAGATTATTATTATTTTTCTCTCTCTCTCTCTCTCTCTCTCTCTCTCTCTCCCCCTTTCTCCCCTACAGCACCCCTCACATATACTGCACCCATCATCACATTTCATTCCAGACACACACTAGATCCCTTACCCAACTCTGGCTCATCTACACACATACACACACTAGATCCCTATATACACTCTGAATCATGTTAGAGTTTCCCTTAAATGGGATCATCATGTGACGCTAATGTGTAAATGAGTGTGATGCTACGGTAACACTGCACTATTTTATGAGATATGTACAGAAGTCTTGATAAAAGAGGTGGCTATATCTCACTGACTAGCCCTCCACTATTTGCACTAACCAGGAAGTTGCAGACCTGCACCATATCTGTGTACAGATCACTACTAATGCATTCACAGATCCACAGAGGGTGCAGACCAGAAGCTCATCACACTGGACCATCAGGGACCTCCACTGTATCACCACAAAATTGGATATTTGCCTCTTTTCCCTGTTCTGTCAGCCCCCTCGCAGTCACCCAGAACCAAGTCACTCAACCACCCCCTCCCACCCAAGTAACTCCTTTCTACAGTCACCCTCCTTCAGTCATCCTCCTACAAACAATAAAAGCTTGATAATGGCTCAAAACAATGAGTCAAAATATTGCTGTACCTGTTCCTGAAATAAATTCTGCTATTTTTGGATACCACCTTAAGTGCCCAGGTTTTCTATCCTTACTAAACTCCTTGGTGGACCTAGGTGGACATTATCCTTATTGATCAGTGTCTGCATTTCCAGATTGATGCACAGAAAAATCCCCTAGACAGACTAACCCGTCCACCCCCCACAGTCACCTCCAGAAAGACAATCCTCTAGTCTACTACAATCATCCCCCTACAGTGACTCTCCTCACAATCAACTACACTAGTCACCTTCCCTAAAGTCAGACTCTACAAAACACTTTTTAACCTAATAAACTGATAAAACCTTGAAGGTAAGTGTCAAGCCTGCCTTACTGAACCCCAGTCCTTAGGCATTAGATACTTAAGTAAAATGTTTCACAGAAACACTTACCCTTGTGATATATATAATCAAAAGATGGAAAAAAATGCAATATTTTGCCATTTTGGATCTTGACAGACGTTAAAAATCCAATTTCATTTACTGCAAAGAGAAAAAAAATGTTTTAACTGAATATATCATATGTTATTCTGAGTGGCAAGCTAATAATATTTGTATATGATTATAACAAGACTATAGTGCTGTTTAAACATAATGTCCAAAATAAATAAAAGCATTTTCCACTTGAGCTACGTTGCATCAGAAAATCAGCAGTTCTAGCATGTTTAAATATATATAAGCATATTTGCATTCTCTAGCAATATGGTTTAACCCCTTAGTGACCAGACCGTTTTTCTATTTTCTTACCGTTAACAGTCATTTACTGTACCCATACATTATATACTGTTTTTCTCGCCATTAAATGGTCTTTCTAAAGATACCATTATTTTCATCATATCGTATAATTTACTATAAAAATAATTATAAAATCTGACAAAATTTAAAAAAAACACACCATGTCTAACTTTGACCGCCAAAATCTGTTATGCAACTACAACTGCCAAAAACACCCTTGCTAAATAGTTTCTAAATTTGGTCCTGAGTTTAGAAATACCCAATGTTAAAATGTTCTTTTCAAAATATGTATTTCTAAAATGTATCATTAGTGACATTGTAACACTGTTATCTGTCATAAATCTCTCACTCACACCTCACATGTACATATTTTTTTAAAGTAGACAACCTAGGGTATTCAATATGGGGTATGTCCAGTCATTTTTAGATGCCATTTAGTCACAAACACTGGCCAAAGTTAGCATTTATATTTGTTTGTGTGTTAAAAATGCAAAAAACAATTATGAACGCTAACTTTGGCCAGTGTTTGTGACTAAGTGGCTACTAAGAAAAACTGAACATACTCCATTTGCAATACCTTGGGTTGTCTACTTTTGCAAATGGTATACCATCAAGGGGGTAATTCTCATTCCTGGGCTACCATACGCTCTCAAGGGCAACATAACCAATCTGGCTAATTTCAAAGTTGAAAAAAACAGAAAAATCAAGCCTTATATTTGACCCTGTAACTTTCAAAAACACTGCAGTACAGGTTTTAGGGTGTCATGAAAAGCTACAGGGTTAAATACAGTGCTAGCACATTAAATTCTCTGGACTTTCAGCCTGGGTTGTCAGGCAGGTCCCTCAAATTGCAATCAACAAAATTACTTAATTATGTAAAAATATTACATAAACATGCAGGTAGAATTTAACAATATATATACATATTTATATATTTGAAGTCTACGTGTATATTTATGAAATTATTTATGTAATTATGTATATGGATTTATTTATAAAAAAATGCAATAATCCCCTGTACTCACGCTCAAAAAAATGACGATACCGGGCACATCACCAAGGCTCCAATAGACAGAAATCCACCAAGGAAGGCTGCTCTCCAGGTTTCAAACAAAAATGTATTGATACAGTTTAAAAATAACAACCGGTCGTTATTTTTAAACTGTATCAATAAATTTTTGTTTTAAATCCAGAGAGCAGCCTTCCTTGGTGGATTTATATATATATATATATATATATATATATATATAAAAAAACCAAAATGATGATGGCTGCACTCCTCTGTCTTCTTTATATTAAAAATGCAGAATGCTTTATTGAAAATACATTTAAAATGATCAACGTTTCAGCCCCAATCTGGGCTTTCCTCAGGATCAGAAAAAACAAAAAGATTCATCTGCGCCCGAATGACGCATTTGCGAAATTCTTGGCTAATTTACATTTATCCTGCCCTCTGTATTCATTTGTATCTGTTTATCCTGTTTATGCTTATCCTTTATCCAGCTATTGCCCTCTGTTAGCCCAGCCATTCTAAGAACCAGTATATGGATAGTATCTGTGACAAAGCTCCTGTACTCCCACCGAGTACCTCCGCCCAGTCCGGTTCTTAGCCGCTTGCAGGGACCCTGGAATGCTTCAGTCCCAGATGCCGAAGCTTGACATGTCTCTCCCACCCCCTCTACATGTCTCTCCCACCCCCAGGGGTGTATTTACCTTGAGGCTGACAAGGCATTTGCCTTGGGCAGCACTTTCTGGGGGGTGGCAAAAAAAGCTGCCCCCCCAATCGCCCTGGCAAATGTCTTGCCAGCCTCGGGCCACCTCAGGGCCCCCCAGGCCCCCCCCCCTACCCCGAGGCTGGCAGCGACGACACTTTCTGTGCGGGCGGCGAGGGAGCACTGATCATCCTGTTCAGTTCCCTCGCGCGCACTGCAGTGATGCCGGAGTCACCCACTATGTCACACCCACATAATTAATCTCCGCCTACTTATAGTGCAGATTACAGGATCTGCTCAATAAAGAGAGAATTACAGGGAATTGAGATGGTAATTTTAAACTTAACGTAAAAATGTAAAAGTACCAGTGTGATAATTACTTAGCAAGTGCAATAAGTCTATTTATTAAACAAAGTGATGCTGAAGTCAGACAAGCAAAGTCCATATTAAGTACTATTCATTTTACTTTCAGAATCTTATCTGTGAAATGTATTGTGTCTTAGACATACTATTGATATCAACCTTACTGGTCCATAATTCTCAGAATACATTTTTGTTCTTTTAAATAAATGGGCTGCATTCACTTTCCTCTAGCCCAGCGGTTCCCAAACTGTGTGCCGCAGCGCCCTGGGGCACCACGACAGGCACACAGGGGTGCAGCAGAATGTTTCCACCGGGGAAACATTACTGCTGAACAGGGGTCAGGTCGGGTGTCGCTGTCCTTTAAGGCCGTGACCGGGCACCTGTAATGTTGGTCGGCTGGGAGGAAGTGACAGCCTGTCACTTCCTTCCAGCGTCATGCAGGATAACAGAGCTGGAGAGAGAGGAGGCAACCGCAGCATGAGGGGAGAGGAGCATGAAGTGCTTCAGACCACTCATTCCCACCACCAGCAGCAGGACTCCAAGCCACCGCCTGGACACATAAGGTAAGCTAACAGGAGGGTGGCTGGAGATATTAAAAATATAACTTGTGTGTGTGTATGCATGTGTGTGTGTGTAAGCGTGTGTGTATGCATGAGTGTGTGTGTATGCGTGAGTGTTTGTGTGTGTATGCGTGAGTGTGTGTATGTATGAGTGTGTGTGTGTGTATGCGTGAGTGTTTGTGTGTGTATGCGTGAGTGTGTGTATGTATGAGTGTGTGTGTGTGTATGTATGTATGAGTGTGTGTGTATGTATGAGTGTGTGTGTGTGTATGAGTGTGTGTATGTATGAGTGTGTGTGTGTATGAGTGTGTGTGTATGAGTGTGTGTGTGTGTGTGTGTATATGAGTGTGTGTGTGTGTATATATACATGTCAGTGTGCTTCTGTGTCAGTGTGTGTCTGTATGTGCACACACATCTGTGTGTTAGGATATGCATCTGTGTATGTGCATCTTTGTGTCATTGTGTGTGTTTTATGTCAGTGTGTATCTGTATCATGGTGTGTGAATGTATCAATGTTTGTGTATGTGTCAGTGTGTATCTATTTGTGTATTTATGTGTGTATGTGTTGGTGTCTATTCAGATTTGTGTAAGTATGTATGTAGTAGTATATGTGCATACATCCAAGCAGTCATACACCAGCACAACAAACAAACAATCCTACAATCTAACACAAATATTACATACAAACACACCCCTGCATTCAAACTCCAAAAGCATATACAAACACACCCCTTCACTCAAACGCAAATACTTCACACAAATGTACACCTGCATTTAAAAGTAAATATTACATTCAAACACACTCCTATATTAAAACACTAAAACTATAAACAAGCACCCCTTTAAACACCAACATTGTACATTACACTATAGCGCCAGTAAATGCTGCAGCACTGCACAGATATACAACCTAGAAATTTTGACTTGGGGTGCCATGGAAAAATATTAAGGGCGCCTTGAACCTAAAAAGTTTGTGAATCATTGCTCTAGCCCCTTAAACTCTTAAATTAAACAAAATTATACTT